TATATATATTATACAAAAACACATACTTACTCACACACACAAAGAAGTAAGACTCAGAACTCACCTGCAAGACTGTACCCTCCAAATTCTGCGCAATAAAGGCCATACCAACAGCGGTTGCCCCGTAAATTACCACTGCATGGAGATAGGATACAAACAGACCAAGAACATGTTTGAATTCAAAACATTATTATCATTATATTTTATGTGTAGAAAAATACAATACTATGTCCACTAAAAACGTCACGAAACCATTGTGAAAGAGGCACTTAAAGGAAAGAGGTAAGGGAAACAGAAAAAAAGGGAAAGAATAACATGTGTGGACAACATAAGAACATGGACAGACCTGGATATTAATAATATGGCAGAATGTGCAACGGCCGCTCGCTACCGTGAAAGATGGAGGGTCATATAATTATACACGTCCACCTCAGAGTCAGAGATGACACATCCAGGTATCCAGGTATCCAGGTATCCAGGTATGTGGCATAGAGATAAGACAAAGAAAGGGACAGAAATGTTCGAGTTCATAACGATTAAATATTCTCTCTGTCTCCACTCTGTCCATCGGTATTGTTTTGATTCCAAGCCAGGTTTCTGTGTCACACAACCATCTTCTGTTTGGTATCCCCGTTCCTCTATAGCCATCAAATTATGATGCCATCATCATCATCATCATCATCATCATCATCATCATCATCATCATCATCATCATCATCATCATCATCATCATCATCAACAACAACATTACCCTAAGAAATTTTTTCATCCCTTTTGAAAGAGATGCAGAGTTGGTCTACCATAGAAAACTGCATCTCCCCTCGACATTAAAATTGGCAACAGAGAATGAAAAATATAATTTAAAAAACCCCGAATAAACCCATCAAACAAGAAGAACCATTTACATAATATTATCATCGTCGCAGTCTTCATCGTTATCTAGAAACTAAGTTGTTTCTATGTTATGTTCCCATCTTCTGTTCGGTCTCCTCCTTCCTCTCTTGCCTTTAAGCTTTGCTTCCATCATTATGAACATTATCTTTATCTTCGTCACAATCTCTCCTCCCCCCCCCCCTCAAATAAAAAACCAACAAAAACCAACAACCAAACCTTGACGCTTAACGGCAACAGATTGTAAAAATGGATAGAAAAAAGAAGAAATAATATTTGCTATATCATTGTCATCGACAAGATCCTTAAAACATCCTCTCAACGCCAAACCGCAAGACGGGACGAAAAAGGAAAACAGAATAAAGAAAAAGGAGAATCATTAACAGTACCACCCAGTATCATCGTCATAGTCCTTACACATGACTTCGACACTTAGCACAACAAAGGAAGAAAAGGGGAAAAAACGAGGGGGGGGGGGGGGGGGGG